TGAATGATTATGTGTACGTGTATGTGAGTGCCCTCTACGATTCATTCAGAAAAAATCCTCGGACTGTGACGTCCGATTTAAAAAAAACAACAACATAAATATGGTAAGTTATGCTAATTTATTAATGACAGCCTCGTTACTCCCTCGAATTAAAACATACTTCATTTATGCAGATTTATTCACTTTATTCGATTGTGACGTCATCATCGTCCAAATTCCCCTTCACGACCAGTTATGATAATGTATGCTAATATATGCACATATTCCCATTGTGACGTCAATATTTATGCTAATTTATGCACGGTTCCCATTCTTACGTCATCATTTATGCACAAATCCCAGTATGACGTCATGTTGAACAGCGCCCTCCCTATCGTAACTATAGTATGTACTTAAATACTAGCACATCTCGTGTTGAAATTAAAATTACATATTAAAATTAATTCATTAATATCACACGCAGTGAACATCAAGTGTTGCCTTTTAATGAAGCATTACAATTCTCTTACCTCAAAACTGAATGGGACAAGACCTATAACTTATAGGTACTCCATATGAGTATATAGGTACTATATTCTCATAGGGCTTGCAGTCTATCCGCAGCTTCATTTCTGCGATATACCATTTTTCAGGTAGTAAATCACATCTAGTGTTGAAATTAAAATAAAACATTAAAATTAATTTATTACAATTTCATAGTTTCCACTATTTTGAACGACTGTTGAGGAATATTGAACACGCTCCTTGGTAAGTTACAGTTTCACATCATTTTACTAGCTTATTGTTGTAAAAAAGCAAAGAATTTGTAACAATATTCGATATATTTTGGAGAAAGGAAAGAATTTTCATAAGAGCGACACATGTCATGAAACATAGTCGACTGAACGAAAGTGTTAATCACGATTTGGCCCATAGAGAATTTGTGAGCAATTAATTTTATTTAGTTTTCTGTCTGTCAATTGCAGCAATACATGTACACACTATGTAAAACCTTGATACAGAACGGGATTAGATTTATTTTATACGATGATGGTTATTGCTGACTCCAATTCCTACCAATGGCATATACATTGCCCATTCCATTGGATATGCCATTGTCTGTAGTACATATGTAGTAGACTTTTTAAAAGGACATTGTCTTTGTTCGTCTATTAAAGCAAGGATTTTGTGGAAAACGACTAGCCTTAACATTCGAGAATATTTTGTTTGTTTCGGTGAATATATAACGATTATATATAACGGTAACACAATGCCACTAATACAGAGATGATCTAAGATGGCATATGCGTCAGTAGTTTGATGTAAACATCAAGTTCATTGCGAAAATTATTTGATTGTGACTCAAAATGATATATAGACATTTGTCACGGTGGAAAAATATTTGATCGCTGTTTTTGAAGGGTCTGACATCACCCTATGTATACCATGGAGGAATATATCTTTCATTTATTTGATGGTGTATCGTACTGTGCTTGTCTGTTATTTTATTTTGTATATGTATTTGACTATTTGTAATCCGTTTATTTTCTGTTCTTGAACTTGTAAATTTTCGATGATGTCTATAGGTCAAAGACGTGAAAATTTGTCCAGCGTCACATCACACTTTATTTTGCTATAGACGCCTCTACTCATCCATTATTGTGTGGTAGATGGATTAATTGTTGTTTCAATAACAGGGCATTGACGGCAATGTTTGCATAAATGACAGAATTGGTCGACATTTATGAAGCACCTCATCCAACATGTCATCCGTTCCTGGCATCTAAGCTGGTGGGGGCTTTATGGGGCTGCTCTGCATTCAGAAGCTTGTCTTCAATACAGGTATAATAATAAACATATCTGGCAGCGTGCTCATATTATAGCTCTTCTCCATTCAGCTCGTCCACTGCCACGGGATGGGGATCGTTTTGTGAGAGTATATCACCACAAATGAGGCAATGAAGGGAAGGCAATTTACCGGTAACAAATACAATAAATCAAAACAACTCAATATATAAGATTTCCTTCTTTTTAATAAATAAAGAAATAGATGGGGTGCTAGTCACTGGAACCAGCAAGAATGGGGATATACGGTAAACAAATAAAACTTGGGACCTGATCGGTGCTGCAGGGTACACTCTACTCTCCAATAAACAGCAATGTACCATGTTGCATTCTTTCGAATCTGGCACACTGTCAGCAGCTGCACTACATTTTAGGACTCGTGATCTGTGTCCAGGGGTATTGGCAACTTGCACTGCTATCTGTGCTACTGGTAGCACTGGTGCAACGGAAGTAGTTCAGGTAGTGAGCTTCAGTGGTTCCTGTTGATCAGCAGGGATAACTGCACAGCACGTCTGCACATGTACCCCTTATATAGGGTACAGCTCACTTGAGTCAGGAGTCAGTATTACAGGATGTTATATAATCAGGTCAAGTCACCTTCCTGACTAAAGATTTTCACACTCGTCTCAACTTAAATAATACAACTAAATTATGGCCATGCAAACAATAAAACGTATTTAACGGAATTATTGGTTATCTCGAAATAAAAGAAAAATCAATGTAAAGAGGATGCCAATTTTGTTAGTGGAATAAACCACTCTTTATCCAAGCTCTGCCAATTTAAAGTAGAAGACTCGGGTCAATGGTGTCATATTTATGTTCAACAAC